GCATTGAGGCCTTTAAATTTATATTGGGACACTAATTTTTGTGCCTAAAAAACTTATTTTTACTATCCTTTGTTATAATATCTTCGATTTTACGGATGTATGCGTTTTTTTTAAAAATATTGAATGATGAATAAGTCACGCGGACCAATCAATTCTAAGATTTTGCGTAAAGAGGCATTTGTTCCTTTTAAAGTATTGTTCAGGGTGCTACACAAAGTCACGATGACAGATTACTCAATCAGATCCAAGATTTTGAACATCCACATCTGAATCGCCTATAAACCATACACTACCCGTTCCTGGTATTATTTTTTCTTGATTATCTCTTCTACACGGCGCTTCTTATTTGCGGGTTCATCACTAGCTGATATCCTATCTTTTAACAAGCCCACTATAACCTCTAAGATCCTCTTCACATTCTTTCGTAATTCGGCTGGATTTTTGATGGCGTCTTCCGTTAGTGAGATTCGATACTCGGTTTTACTTGTACAGTAGATGCCTTCGGTACTATGTAGGATGAAATACCAGTCTGTGGCTAAGAAATTGTGAAACGGATTAGTGATTCAAAAGCGAAACAGAAACCCTCACTAGAATCATTTTCTCACCTGTTGTAATGATACCATAGACATATTCATACTCAGAACCGAATGCCTCGTCGGACTTCCGCTTTTTCTTGAGCATGCTTAAGTTCATCTATATCGATAATGTCAGTTAACGCATGCACAGAACGAAAAAATAAAAATCTACATTACTTACATCGCATGAACTTTTACATTGTATGAGATTTTGAGCCACGCCTTTGCCCGGCTGATTTTGCTTCCCTTCAGTTATGCAAATTATTTCTTCGTATAAACCATCTATGATTTTTTTTATTGCATAGTCCACACAGACGGAACTTTCAGCACCAGTTACTGTCATCCGAGGTAGGATAAGCAAATCTTTAAGGAGACTGACGGCTGTGTGAAGAATTGTTGAAATATAGGAGAACGCACGCTTCGGCGTTTCTTTGAGAGCCTTAATTTCTTTAGCAAGTTTTATTGCGGGTCCACCAGGGAAATTATATGGTGACGCTAAAAGCTCTTCTTTGGTTAACTCAAGAAAGACCTGGCCGTCAACTTTTTGCTTGCGAAGTATTCCCAAATCATCGTCGTCTAGCTTGAGATTCTGCTTTTTCAAAAAAATCGATAAGGGTTTCTGTATCCCAGTTCTCAACCAAGTAAGAGTCGTGTTCAGCTGTTGAGGTAGACATTGCGCTTTTATAGTAATACTGGTTCGGACAAAAATAGTGACACGAGCGAAACGGCGAGTCAGTCGCTTGACAGATGGATACGTCGTGTAACCTACGAACGGCTTAGTCGATAAGAGGCGGTTAGATTTGGCGAGTGGTGTGTTTATGATCGTAGGTTTTATAATGTATTGTCAAGGAACAGGAAAGTATTTGGGTCAAAATGTATTGTAGGCACGAATAACTACTGCTCAGGTAGGGCTCAAAGCCTTTATTATATACTGTTATATTACTTATGCGCTCCTACAGCTATTAAAGATATTAAACTTATTATTTATCATATATACTTTTAATGTCCTATACTACTTAAATCCCCTATATACCATATATCCCTTTACTTATAGTTCTTCCTTATAACCCTTATCACTGCTATTACCCTTATAATTGCTAAAGATTCTATAGGATTTTTAAGAGCGATAATCCCGGGAAGCCCATATTAGGTAAAGTATCAGCATACTCGTTCTGCGCCACTTCGATTACCTCCTTCCGGGATTACAGTTCTACAGCTCACAATAGTGTTACTTTCCGGAGTGAGATAAAAATTTATTTTTGTTCGATAAAGAAAATATTGGCGTTAATATAACAGGAGGAACCGTACCTAAAAATAGAAACACGTTACACAATTGATTTTTTCACGAGGCTTGTGTAGCCAATTCTCTCTATGAAAGTGCGTAAGTCAACTAGTCAAACCTGAAGCTTTCACACTGTATTTTAACAATATCGGTTGAATCCACTTGAATCCACCAACTTTTATATGACGATTTACTTTGTAAAGATGTATATTAGTAAGTAAATTATGAAACACTGAACTACATACGTATATATTTTTTATATTTTTTTTGACAGGATAAGAAAAGATACATATTATTAGACCCGGAACACGTGATCCACCGATGGCCGATTTCGTCATGGGATCTTCGCCATACGACCTCAAGTCACGCCCTCCCGACTATGAAGATCTCTTACTATACTGGGACTAATAGCTATAGGATAACTTTCTCGTGATTGGTCAATCACATGAAATTGAATGATGATCCATAATTGGCTAAACATTCGAGCATGTGATAATTAACCAATAAAATTTAAAGGTTGCATTTATTATTATGTAGTTAGGCTTTCGAACGATTTTTCTTTATTCAAATATCTTTGGGTTTTAAAATTTCTTATATTAACATAACAAAATGTCACTATTCTGAAACGTC